GGGGGGGAAGGCGGGGGCGTGGAGAGGAGCAAGGGGGTTACATCTGTATACTTCAAAGTTTTATTAATTACTTCTTTCCTTTATCTATTAATATCCTTCGTTTCGTACAAAATTGAACGCTAATTTACGTGGCGCGTGCGCGTGCGCTCAGAATTACCCGCGTCAAAGGAATAGCGATAGCAAATAATAGCGGCTCCCAGGTGGCAACCAATCGGTAACCAAGTTTCTCTCTTACCGTATAAACTAACATCGATTTCCTGATTCCGAGTAAAACGTGTATAATGACGTCAAAGAATTGCGTTTACCTTTCCCTTGCTAGAATACGACGTACGGGATTGTTACACAATCGTAATATTTTTTTATATTGCATATAAGCTCCTTGTTAATTTGCAAATTTAGAAATAGAAGAAGAATATGATGATGATGATGATGATGATGATGATGATGATGATGATGATAGTGATAGTGACGGTGATGGAGACGAAAAATAAATTGAAGTAGTACAAACACGATGGTCTATTATTAGACATTCAGATCTTTATCTATGTTTCTTGTTATTTTCTTTTTCTTTTTTTTTCTTTATTTCCAATCAACAAATAAATTAATTTGTCAAGTACGCGTTTTACATTTTCTTTGTCTTTTTTTGTTATGTTATGTTATTTTGTAATACATATATATCTATTCGTATCTATAAAAATGACTCTTAAGATTAATATTAGTGCGAATATGGTTGTAATCGTTACGACGCGACCAAATAACTAACGTTAAAAATATAACAACCGATATTTATTTTACGTGTAAAACAGTCATGGTAAAAAAGTTGCTAATTATAGTATACAAATGAAACCTAATAAATAACAATTCAATACCAATTTTGTTAATGTCCCGACGCTTGTTTAATATCTTGAAACATTTTATTTTTGGTTATTTGTTTAGTTTAAATTGTTGGTTTTTTTTTAGAAATAGTAATTATCAGTAATAAAAGAGATAAACAACAACAAAAATTGGCAACTAGTGAAATGAGATCGCGTAAATGGAAGGACGAACGAACATAAATATAATTCATTGTTAATAGAAAAAAAAAAAAAAAAAGAAAAATGAAAGGAAAAAAGCAATATGCATAATAATTACTATTTATTTTAAATACTTTCTTACCTTAGTTTAAAACACAAACGTGACAATCGTCAAACATAGTCATAAATTAAACGGTCAATAGGCGAATCGAATTCGTTATCAGATTTTAATATTCTCTCGTTGTTCGTTCCCTTTTTTTCTTTAGAGCTTTTACAGTGTCATTAAACTTCGAATCGTATACTCGCTGATTCATCCGTTTAGATAAGGTACAATCTTTCAATAACGAAAGAGAGAAAGAGAAAGAGATAAAGATCCATTTGAAATTCCCAGCTTTCATATATGAAATTTGTGACAAGTAATAATATAATAATCTCTCTATGAAATAATAATTATTACAAATCATATTAAGAAAAA